CGGCGGTTGAAAACACCAAAAAAATTTTCAAAAGCTCCTTTCAACGAGATCTTCCCAGATCTGAAGTCCGTTTTACCAGAAACAGTTCGGATCGACGTAGATCAAGGCTTGAAGCTTTCGATTTCTTTTCTTTTTTTCTTTTTTTTTTTTTTTTGAGAAACTAACTTTATTTTTTGGTTTTTGCAGGGCTTGCTTTGCGCTGATGGTTCCTCGCCATAGGTGAGGACTGTGTTGTTTTTTTTTTGTTTGTTTTCTTTGGTTTGGGTATTTGTTTCTGTTTTTGCGTTTCTATTTTGGGTATTTTGGGGGGTGTTTAGGGTTGTTGATGGAAGAGTTTGGCTTGGTTTCGAAGGTCTGTTCGAAGGCTTTTTGAGAGGGGTCTGCTTGAAGGCTTTCTTTTTTGAGAGAGGGGTCCAAGAAAGATGTTGAAGGGGATTCGAGAGAGCTTCTTTCGAGAGCTTGAAGGGAAAATGGCTAGAGATTTTTAAGGGCTTCAATTAGGGGGATCTAGGTGGCTGTAAGTGAGCTGAAAGGGAGCTGGTCAGGGGGCGTCAGGGGGCTGACAGAAAGCTGTAGGGTGGCTGGTCGGGGGCGACAGCAGTGCCAGCCACCCTACTTTCTATTTTTTCTCTTTTTTTGTTACTTTTTTTTTTTTCGTTTCATTTTTTTATATTTTTATATAATTAATAATTATTTTTAAATATTATTATTATTAATAATATTATCATTAAAATTAAAACAGTAGACCCGGACAAAACCGGTGTCTACAATGGAGAACATGTACTAGAAGAAACACTTGCTTTCACCACCACTCATCTAGATTTGGCAGAAGGTAGTAGCATTGAATATCCCCTTTCAGCACTAGTCTCCCATGCCCGAAAATGACCCATCCGTAAAAGCTTGCCAAGGCTAGAGGCTAGGCGATACATTTCTATATATCAAGAAGATGGTTCACATGACAAAACGTTACTAAATTTTGCAAAGTTGGATTCCAACTTATTACAAAATTTGCACAAGGGAGAGCTAAGCAAGATCTCTAGGTAATTACTCCTTAATGCTTCTATATGAAATTGTTGTCAACAGCCATGTAAGCTGTTGGTAGAATGCTGAACAATCAGATTTCGAACCTTACCAACTTCTGAGAACCGAACAGTATGCAATACTTGGGCTAATTGTTTTTATTTCAGGTGGTATAAAGATTTAGATTTTCTGGAAAACTGCCATTTGCACGAGATAGATTGGTTGAAGGTTACTTTTGGATATTGGGAGCATACTTTGAGCCTCAATACTCCTTTGCTAGACAGATATTGACAAAAGCAATTGTCATAGCGTCAGCTATGGATGACATATATGATGTACATGGCACATTTGAAGAACTGGAACTCCTTACAAATGCAATTGAGAGGTAATTAAGCAATGTATATCTTCAAATTATGGACTATATAGTAGAATTTGGTTGAATTTTGGATTTTATTAATCCATAATTTGTATTCCAGGTGGGATACTGACTGTATAAATCAACTCCGAGCATACATGAGAATCTTCTACAAGGCCCTCTTAGATGTTTATGAAGAAATGGAAGAAGTGATGACAAAGCAAGGAAAATTATACCCTGTCCAATATGCGAAAGAAGCAGTAAATTCACACTAAACCACTTTCTCATTTACAGTTTTCATGAGATAAATTCGTTCAATTCAAAGGTGAAACTACATATAAATACTAAAAGACCACCACACACTTCCCTCTCGTTTGCTCAAAAAATATCGTTTAAAATGACAAAAAAAAAATAAAGAGAATCTTACATAAAAAATTATTTGGACCACAAGCTGATAATAATATAGATTCCTTGACCTTTTCATTTCTCAGATGAAACAATTATCGCAATCGTATTTCGTTGAGGCCAAATGGTACCATGAAAACTACGTACCATCGGTGGAGGAATACATGATAAATGGATTAGTATCTGCTGGCTACATCATGTTTGCTATCACATCTTTTGTTGGAATGGGAGACATTGTGACAAAAGAGATATTTGATTGGGCATCTAGCAACCCTAAAATCATTAAAGCTTCTTCAGTAATTGCCCGTCTCATGGACGATATTGGTTCACACAAGTTGCATCATGTATCTATCTTTTTCTTTTATATCATTTTTTATATTTGAAATGATCAAAAATAAAATTTTAATCAATAAAATTAAAAGTTTTAACATTTTTTGACAAATCACATAATTAATTGACTACGTGTTATTTATTTTTTACTTTTTTCGATATTGCTTAATATGAAAAAAAAAAAAAAAAACTAGTATAACGTATTTTCTATCATAATTAATGAATAAGAATAAAATCATGTATTTTATCAATGAAAATCAAATAGAATTGTGAAAAATTAAAGCTTCTAATTGGTGCAAAGTATTATAAGAATTCATTTTCCCATATATTTATTTAGAAATATTATGATTATACAGTTTGAGCAGGAGAGAGGGCATGTTGCATCGGCCGTTGAATGCTACATGAAACAGCATGGAGTTTCAGAAGAAAATGCATGCAGTGAGTTGAACAAGGAAATTGAGAATGCTTGGAAGGATATAAACCAGGAGTTGGTACTTAGGCCGACGCCTTGGGTCCCAATGCCTATCCTCACACGAATTCTCAACCTTGCAAGGGTGATGGATTTCCTCTACAAGGATGGAGATGGGTACACACACGTTGGAAATGTTGTCAAGTGCGGAATCACTTCATTGCTCATTGATCCAACCCCACTTTGAAGATCCAAGAATTTACATATAGAATAAATAAATAAGAAACTAAAAGAACAAAATTGTCCGAGCTGCCAAGAATTGAAATCTTTTGGTGTTATATATGAGATAAAGACAATTCATTCTCAGAGTGATTTCTCTTTCTAATATTAGAATGTATTGCACCTTTGTGTCATTCTATATATGTTTAATTTCTTTTATCTTTTTAAGTAAGTGGGACCGATGTGTATTTCTACTATTTCATCTAAAGACAATAAATATATTTCAAACTAAATTTATGGTTGAAATTTCATAATTTTAAATTAAATATAAAATTAAAAAATTAATTTAAAAAATAAAAATAATTTAAACAAATATTCACCATATACTTAGTTGAAAGTGTATTTATCATCTTTAGATGAAATAGTAAAAACTTTCATTGATTTTTAAACAGTGGAGAGGATCTTCTCCCAGGAAAATGACCTTTGTGCCAACTTTTGCTCCTCCTAATTGCAATTAATGGGTTTTGGGGACTACTTCTCCTTTCTATAATTCAGTATCAGAATCTTTGTTTGAACAAGCATGAATAAAGAAATTTCAGATACAGAATTGTCTTTGCTAGTTGCTACTATTACTTGGCCCAAGCTAGCAAAGAGACAGGTAGCTCAAGGAAGTTGAAAATTGGGCCTTTGGGTTTATCGGACAATATTTTTGTTGACGTTTACAAATATGGGCTTTAGATAACAATGTTTTATGGGTAAATTAGTTTGGAAATGGGTTTTCCATGGGCCATAAACCTTTCTTGTTCTGTGAATAAGCTTTTACTTTAGCTGATGGGTTTTGCCTAAAGTTTATTTAGCTAATTAAACATCTATTCTCAACATTCTTTTTTTTTTTCTAATAAGAGAGTATCACAATTCAAAGCTAAGATTATTCTAGAATGGAAAATATCAAGTTCCATCATTTTTCAAGTTATTTGTAATTGATAAGTGTTCCTCGTTATAAATCAATAAGATACTTCGCAAAATCCAATGTTTCAATGCCACAATGCATAATATATAGGTCTTCAGTGCCAAGATTAGCATTTGATTAGAAGATAGAGTTAGATTTGAGCCTAATCTGAAAAACTATTATAACATGGTCAAAGAGGATGATATTGAATTCTATTAACTAAAGGATTGAGTCCCGAAATAAATACAATTAGTAACACTTACTAACAAACCGAAGGGAATATGATTTAAATATAATAATTTGCGTTATCTTTCATATAAAATATTATATTTTATCGTATTTTATATGAAAATCATGTATCATAGTTTATGTCTATAAAAATATATATATAATTTTTTTATTTTATTAAACTTATTTATAATTTTTTTTAATTTTAAATAATGTTATCTTTATATTTTTTATTCGTATTATTTTCATATCATATTATTATATCGTGTTTCAAATTATCATATTTAATATGATTTTTGTATCAATTTTTGCTTATCACAATTACAATTAATGAGTTATGAGGACATTTCTACTTCTCCTTTTCATAATTTAGTATCAAGATCTTGATTTGAAAACTTACATTTCGTTCTGAATTTTATTATAGTCACATGAGAAATAAAACCATTTATAATCGAACTCATGTGACAAAGTAGCTTGCCAACATGACAGCTGGTTTTTGTTTTTAACATAAAGTATCACAGTTTAGAAATTAAAAAAAAAATAGAAAAAAGTTAAGAATGTTAGGACCAAATCTTGCGTGCTTCATAAATGTACCACCTACTACTGTTTTAGAAGTTCATAATGAAACATACGCATCACTCTATTATATGAAAGGGAACTTGAAACTTCATATTTCACTTTCATTGCTTTATCACTACCAATGAAATTTCATCCAAATAAAAAAAAAATTATTCAATTGAATCTAGTCGAGAAGTTTGGAACATACCAAATAAATGTCACATCACCTCCCCAAGGTGTCAATCTTAGTCAACGAAACTAATATTTTCTTCCTTTAAGATAATGATTTTGAAAGTGAATTTTTTTTTCGTAAATGAACGTGGATTTTCATGATTAAACAGTAATGCCTTGTTTAATAAACAAAAGAAATTCCACTTTATCTTGAACTCTTATAACAATTTCCAATCACTTTTTAATTTACCGGTTGGGTGTCAAAAGCTGATTTTAGAGATTCAATGCATGTTTCCACTCATCTATTGATAAAATAGTGAGACAGTTTATCTTTTCATCAGCCTCTTTAACACTTAATCTTTGTATCAGACAAATACATGAAAATTAAAATAATATTAAAATCAAACACTTTCCTGTAGGAAAAAAATACATAAAAATGTGTATTCCCAATTACACGTGTATCTTCCCCAAATCAATGATTAGATAACCTCCACGTGTCAAACCCACAAATCATTACACCTAGTCACAAACCAAGGTAGGGAACTTCCCTATACGTAGAGTTCATGCGAATAAAAACCACTAATTTCCGTAGGTAACCAGGAAAAACTAGAAAGACAAACACACCGTAGTTATGGCTACCTTGACAGGATCGGATCCCAGTAGCCATGGCTCCTTATTGGAGTCACCCTTACTCCTTCCATCCAAAGACTCCGGATGGGAATCCGGACCCGGATCCGAACCCCATAAGCTTTGCATAGACGACATGTTACAAATATACTGCGGAGAATTCGGGTCCTGGCAATTCAGACACTTTGTTTTAACAAGCCTCGCACGGGCTCTAGAAGCTTTCCATACCATGGTCATGATATTTGCAGGTCAGATCCGAACCCCATAAGCTTTGCATAGACGACATGTTACAAATATACTGCGGAGAATTCGGGTCCTGGCAATTGAGACACTTTGTTTTAACAAGCCTCGCACGGGCTCTAGAAGCTTTCCATACCATGGTCATGATATTTGCAGACCAGGAACCTGCTTGGCGTTGTACAAAAGGGTCAGGATCAGCCTGTGATGAGAAGGAGAAAAGTGTTTGTGGGCTTGAACCAGGGTCTTGGGAATGGAAAGGTGGTTCAGGAAGCTCCACCGTCGCTCAGTGGGGATTGGTTTGTGGGGATAAGTACAAGGTTGGGCTTGTTCAAGCCTTGTTTTTTGGCGGCTGCATGATTGGTGAGTTGTTTCCAGCTGATCTTTCTCTTTTTTTTTTTTTTTCGTTGTGTTGTTGCTGATCTTTCTCTTTCGTTCTTATGATCTTGTTATCTGTCGGATAATTTTTTTTTCTTCACTATATTTTCTAGTTATCAGGTTTAATGTTCTATTTTTCTTTTAATACGGGTCTCTTCAGGTTTTATCTTATACTAATCTCCTTTCTGCAACGATTTTGCATACTCCTTCATATTTTTATCTTAGACTAATCTCCTCAGGTCCATAAATTATACATTATGGCACCTGGTTTCCATCACAGTAAAACCTGTTATATGTTCCTAAAATAAATTTCCTTTAACAAAACCAGACTTGCTTTTTACTAATTTCTAAAAGAATAGTAATTTGTAATGATGATCATTTGGTGCATATTACGAGACAAGAAATATGAAGGTCAAGAGGGGATAATGTCATTTATTTATAGCTGGAGAATGGAGATACTACATAACAGGCAAAGAATTGGCTGTTTTTTTCTATGATTCAGATTGTTGTGTGCCACTTGAAGCTTCTCTTGTCAGGGCCACATGTTTTATGTTTGGTACATCTTGTGCGTATGTGAGAAATAGAAAATTGGAAAATCAAAAGCCATGCTACTGATCAAAATGGACAAAGTGTAGCTTGGTTTTAAGTCATTTTCTTGTGGTCCGTAAATTAATTATTATCATCAGTTTCTTGAAACATCATCTTGACTTTGTTGATTTGGCTTTTTCTATATTGATTTTCCATTCCAACTTATATTTGTTATAATATATTTTTTTGTTTATTGGAGAAAAGACGAAGAAAATTCATTTTAAAAAATGTAAAGTAAAATTTCTAACAAAAAATTTCCCAACTTTGTGTAAAAAAATTGCAAAAAAAAAAAAGAAAATCCAGGTCTGACATTTCGCTCAAACAACAAGCCAAAAGCCTTCACATCTTAAGAACTTTTAGGGTGCATTTCGAATCGACCAAACTCCCAGTAGGAGTGCGGTTTGCATGAAAAGATGGGACATACAGACTGAAAACTCGTTTGGGTGTCCATGTTATGGAGCGATTATCACCGATTAATCACCGGAGAATTTTGTTCCAGTCATTCTCCGTGGGTATTTTATTTATATTTTTTTACCTTTTTGTCCTTCGAACTGAGTTGTAAAGATAAAATTATCCTTTTAAATTTTAATTTTGATTTTTATTTAAAAATTATAAAAATAATTGTATTAATTTAATATAATAAATAAATTTTATTATATAATAAATTAATAAATAAATGTTAATTATTTATTAACAAAAACTATTATTTAATTTCAAAAAATAATTTAATAAATTTTTTAATATTTATTAATTGTAAATACTAAATACTTTAAAATTTTATTACATATAATTTTATAATTAATATTTTTAATGATCATTTATTTTTTAATTCTTTTAATATTTTTAATGATAATTTATTTTAACGGTCATTTATTTACATCCAAACATATATTTTATTATTATTTTTAATCTCATCACTATAATAATTAATTTCACATTTATTATTATTTTTAATTTCATAAATATTAATCTCACTATTCATCCAATCAAATTCTTAATCACTCCAACCGGCAGACACCTCCGGTGAGTCTAGACTTTCAATTCCTTCAAAGTATCAATACAATGGGCCATGAATGGAGCTTGAAAGTTCAATGTTTGACAAATGAAAGATATGTTTGACTATGGTCACATGATTTCTGTTTTTTTTTTTTTTTTTTTTTCAAAAACTTGTTGAAAATGAAAGATGTGCATTAATTTTCTTTTGAAAAATATTAGCAAATTATTAATGATCATAGTTATGATTAATTACTATTTCCAATTGATGGTAGCTTTGTCTAATCTTATTTTGTTTCTTTTTGTTTTCTAGTCACCTTCAGCAACTTGATATTTTCCTTCTCATCCAAACACAATGAGAAATTTCAATTTTTCAATTTTCATTTTTTTTAAAAAAAATTTCTTTGATACCTTATATTTTCTTTTCAAAATTTTCATGAACTAAACAGAGTCTAAAAATTTTTAGATAAATTGTCATAACATATAGTTCAAAAATTTATAGCTAGATTTAATAAATGAATGAAGTCGTCACTAATCTTTTTTTTTAAGTGTGATTGGTCACTTAAAGAATCTATCATCATAGGAAACTCCTAAGCTTGACTAAGGATCCCTAAAAGAATAGATTTAAATCTACTAACCAAAATAAGGTTCGGGAGTCGGTTACATGTGAGGAAGGTTATAGCACCCTTACATGTCCATCTGAATGATTGTACCATATTATTTTGAATTTATCCTAAGGTTTTGAGTCTAATGGTTTCAAATTTTAATGTCAAATATTTGAAATAATTCATAAGATTCTTCTATGTAGATTTCTTAAAAAAATATTTTTTCACCTTAAGAGTATTCAAGAATCCAATTTAGATATCTTGAAAAGGCTCCATCATCGGAAAAAGGTTTGATTATTATTATTTATTATTATCATTCATTTTTTTGTTGAATATATCTAATTATTTCACAATTTAGGCCAAATTAGAAATATTTTTTTTGAATTTTTAAAATTTTCACCATTTAGGCCTATTTAGAAATTCTTTTTATTATTATTTTTTCTTTGGAAAGAAAATAATAATAATTACTTTTATTAAAATTTTTTATCTAAATTATTCCACAATTTGGGCCAAATTTAGAGAAAATTTCTTACCTAGAGATTTCTTAAAAATTTACCATTTGAAATTTTTAAGAATCTCATCTTTAGATAATTATCAAATATTTACAATCCAGATTTTATTTGGAAGAGAATACAATTACTTTTATTGAAATTTTATCTAAATTATTTCACGATTTGAGCCAAACTTAAATAAAATTTCTCACATAGAGAGTTCTTAGAAAATTTACCATTTGAAATTTTTAAAAAAATCTTATCATTGGATAATTTGTATTTAATTCTAAAATTTTTTAATTTTTTATGTTTTTTTAATTTTTAATTTGTTAATTTTTGTTTGTTTGAAAATAAATATTAATTATTGTTATTGAAATTTTATCTAAATTATTCCACCATTTAGGACAAACTTAGATAAAATTTCTCACCTAGGAATTTTATAAAAATTTATCATTTGAAATTTTTATAAATTCCATCATTGGATAATATTTATTCCAAAATTTTATTTTTTTATTATTATCTTTTTTTATTTTAATTTAATAAAAAACTAATAGAAATAAATAAATAAAATGCTTAAATAAAATAAATAAGAAAACACCAAAAAAAAAATGAAATCAACTCGGCTTGGGCTGGAAAACGGCTCGGCTCAAGACAGAAAAGGTGGCTCGAAAACGCGACTCGGAGAAGTCGGCTCAACTTGGCTCTAAGGATTGGCTAGCACTCGGGTCAACGCAGGTTGACACTCGGGTCGGGTCGCCTGATTTCAAAATGCATGGATCATTTGAGAATAGTAACGCCAAAACGACATCATTTTCAGCAAGTATAAAAAGCTCCAACCTTTATTTTTATCGCAAAAAGTTCTTCCCTCTCTCTCCTCTTTTTTTTTCCCTCCTTCTTTCTAAACAGAATCTAGATTTCGGTTGAATGTCTACCGAAATCTGGAAAAACCCTTCAAAAACTTCAAAGTTGGCCTAAAATATCGCCAAAAAACTTGAATCTCGTCGAAAAATTTCACCGGACTCTGAAAAATTTTCAAAAATTTTTCAAAAAAAACCTTCAAAAAAATCAAAAAACTCCTAAAGTAGTTTCTAACACCTATAACCTTTTTTAACTTCTATTTCCTCTCTATTTTCCTCTCTTATTTCTATTTGATTCCCCTCTAATTTCCCTCCATATGTTTCTGTTTGAGCCTCTATTTATAAGCATTGATCATAAATAATTTTTGATGAATTTCTATTCCCTTTTTGATTGGGATTCAAGGATTGAATCCCAGTCCAACTCTACCAGCCCCTATTCCAGAAGGAAACAGAAATTAAAGCTTCAATTTCGAACAAAAAAATAATAAAATAAAAATAAAATAACGAAAATAAAAAAATTATAAAAATTATAAAAATAATAAAAATAATAATAATAATAATAAAAAATTAAAACTAAAAATTAAAACTAAAATTGGGCTAGAACTGAGCTAAGCCCAATGGGCTTAGGCTTAGCCCCTATTGAATCAAGCCTAATGGGCCCGAGCCTTGGGCCTGAACAAATTAAGATGTCTATAGTTGCCCCTCTTTGCACATTTTCTATGAACACAGGAATTGTGCAAAGACGTAAACACCCTGCTCATGGGCATCCCAACAAATTTATGCTTTTTTTTTAACAAAACTCCTCCAAATAGAAGCAATAGACTTTAAAAATAAATGGTTCCTCTGAATAGAGGCAACAGACTTTGAAAATAAATGACTTCTCTGAATAGAGGCAACGAACTTTGAAAAATAACGAACTTTGAAAAATAAATGGCTCATTTGAATAAAGGCAATGGACTTTGAAAAATAAATGGCTCCTCTGAATAGAGGCAACGGACTTTGAGAATAAATAAATACTCCTTAACAATCATGTCCAAAGGAATCAAAGATCATGTTTTAAGGAATTTCAAGAAATTATGCCCAAAGGTCTTACAAATCGATCATGATACCAAGAGATATCCTTTTTCAAAGGTTAAAAACTTACCTCACAAGCTTTTTCTCAAACAAAACTAAAAAATTAAAAAGTCTTTACATCCATCTTCTTCATGTGGGGATCCTAGAATACCCCTGCTTTTTGAACTTATGCACTATGATTACTTGAATGTAGTATATGCTATGCAAAATATAATACGTGTAAAATTCAATGCATGCTATACAAATGCTAGCTAATTAATTCCCATTTAGTTATGGTACTCAAGTTTCTCAAGCTTTTTCTTGGGCCTCAAACCCTTTGTTCTACAAAGATCAAGTCAGCGTAGCTCGTAATCATTTTTTCATTTAATTCTTAAATTCTTTTTGCAAGAAATTTCCTTTCAAATATGTGTCCTTATTAGGAACTGAACATCTTAAATTTGCCTTTATCACTCTTAACCTTTCCAATGTAATATAGAAATCTTTCATGCTGTTATTTATTTATTAATCACTATTTCAATTTCAAAAGTAAGAATACATTCACACATTTCTTCCATTGTAAGGTATTAAAGAGAAAAGAATAAGGATGGTTAGGAAATAATCAACAGTAGAGACACATAAAGAATAAAGTAAAATGTCTTTTATTAGCAAAAATGCTGAAAAACTCTAGGTAATGAAATAATTACAAAAATGGGTATAGGGAAAGTAAAGCCCAAAAATGATAACACATCTTAAAGTCTTTTTGAAAACTCAACCATCTGATGCACTTAACAACTTAGAGCTTCTCAGAATATGCTAGCCTCTATGCTAATGAGCTTTCAAATTCGATGCTGTATTTTTCTCATCTAAGTTGCCCTTTTACGTTTTCAAGTTAGATGACCCCCTATGACTCAAATCACCCATTTTCAAATTTTTGCCTTGAGTCTTCCTTTTTCATTTTTTTTTTATTTTTTTTTATTTTTCATTTTGTATTTTTTCTTTCTTTTTTTTAAGCATAGTATTTCTTCACAGTATCAAAATTTATAGAAATGGGGTAAATCATTTTCATTCATCTCTATCAGTATCAATGCTCAATTCGAGAAAGCTCATTTCACCACATATGACCTTTTCCCAATTCGGGGTCTATTTCTTTTTATTATCATGTTGATTTGGAAGA